ACTTTGAGATGGGATTATAAATGCTCTTTTTTCCCGTCTCTTGTCACAATCAGGAGCTCAAATTTTTGAAAAAGAAAAACCCCTCAGTTCGTTAGTCGGTGGCAATTGGCAACTACATAAATCTTCATCGTGATCACATTTTTGCCTGTTAGAGTTTTCTATAAAAATTATTGTGTCAGATCAGTGTTTTTGTGGGACATCTTTTAGCAGATTGTGTTGCTTTAGCCGTCGAAAATATAGAATTTTGTACCCACTTGCCCTTCTCCTTTGGTGCGAGTCTGTTGGCATTTTGAAGATATCAGCAGGCCGATTAAGAGGTCCTCACCTGGAAAGTCTTATAATTGGTGTGCTTATTGATTTTCGCTCGTTGCTGATATCCTACTTCAAATTTTAGGGTCATCTAGCTTCACTGCAGCGACCTAAATTTTATTCTATTTTTCGGTTCGTTTTCTTCTTAAAATTTGAGTTATAGAATCACTGTCCTTGATTTTGTTTGACTGTATATTTATTACTTCATTTTATCTTTCGCCTTGTTATGTGCTTCGGATTTTAAAATATTGTTTCTTGATTGTTCGGTTTGCTATGGAGCAAATAGGTTTAAAATACAATAATGTAAATGACTAGCTATCTTCACTGGTAGAGAAATGGAAAGAAACTTAAGTAATGCTTGAAGGGGATGAATTTTGCTTTTGATTTACATAAATCTATGACTAAACGAAATTTCACCATCTGTATTTTTAGCCTGTCATCGATTTTTTTCAATACTGATTTCAAGTCATTTGGACTTTGTGTCATATCGAAGACTCTTAGGCCTTGTTTGATTGCGAAGGAGGAAGGAGGAAAAGGAATTTCACCTAAGTTGGAAAACAAAAGCAACCATACCCATAAGAATTCGTTTTTCATGAAATTGGTCAAAAACGTGCTTTAAATGGTAGTACATAAGAATTCGAATTCCATTTCCACATGCGAATCAAACAATCGAAGTGGAAATTATTTTTGTTGGATGCGACATTTTTCATGAAAAATGTTGCAATCAAACATGGCCTTATAGTTGCTATCTGAAGTCATTTGAACTTTGTGCTTGTAACGTTTGAGCTCTCATCTAATGTTTGGCTATATAAATTCATATTTATATTTATAAAATTGTTTGAAGTCAATTAAAATTCAAGTTAATATAACATCGTGTCATGTTGGGAATTTTGATTAATTTTTTATTTGTCTTGGGATTCTTGTTCACTAAAATATTAAGAAATTTGAAAAGTGTTACGAAGATGTGGGGAAAACTTTGGAATGAATCAATAGAACTAGAGATATTTCACCATGTGAAAATGTTTTATAATGATATAAAATCTGTCGACTACATAAACTTCTAAGAGTAAAACGAAAAGTAATATATGATTAATCACTTCCATGGTTATTTATTTGTTTTATATGTATGCACGATAAATTTTATTCTTTCCGTCTCATCTATATATGTTGATTTTGGTTTTTACATAGATTAGAAAATTTTATTTAATATCATTGAAAAAGTTTTTCTTTATTTAATTGGTAACAACTTTTCTCCCTTGGAGAATCGTGTGCATGTATATTTGAATATTTGGATGATTTCAGGGAGTAGGTGCATTAAAATTTGTACAATTTTAAAATAAAGTGGGAAAAATTAGTTATAAATAAGCTTTTGTTTGGATTAGATTTTAATTTGAATCAAAGTCAAACAATCAATATTGAGACATTTTTTATGAGCATCACAAATTTTCAATCACACATTTTAAAAATTTCTATCAAAATTTACAAAAAATTTAATTTTAATCTTCACTAAACATTCTCTGAGTAAATTAAATAAGAAAATATTAGTAAATGAACAAAATGAATATATTCTTGACAAGGAAACGGGACTATAATTTAGGACAAGAAAATAAAGAAAACCAATCAATATAAATAAAGCGGGGGAGGTAATGATTATCGATCTATTTATACTATGCCAAAAAATTGTTGGCTAAGCTTGCACAAAGCAAATTCCAATAACTCTCCAAAATTCATTTACCCGAAATTCTTACAGGGTCCTTCACTGTGCAGAGGCTCTATATGCATTGAAAAAAAAAGTTACGCGGGCCCTATGAATGTGTGTGCCTGACAGGAGCCTGGTTTTGTAAGGCTAGCACGTTCTTACCCAAAACCTATTCGAACTGTAGATTAGCTCGATGCATGTGCACCGGACTGACTTTTTTAAGCTTAGTCTTCCTACAAGTTGCAATTTCTTTGCATTTCTTCTCTCTCATATTACAAAAGTCGTGTGTGGGCCAAAAGGACAGTAAAAAGAAAAAGAGGAATCGAAAATTTTAGGATGTGTTTGGTTTGGTATTTTTAAGTTATTTTTAGTTTTTAATTTTTAGAAATAATTTTTTAAAATGAAAAGTTGAACACATTTTTAATAATTTTAAAACAGACTCTTTAAAATAGAAAATTGAAAATGAATTCAAAACTCAAATATAAAAAGTAAAACACAGAATGTGTTCTTATCAAATTGTCAATTAATATTAGCAAAAATTGTCAGTTTGCTGCCAAATGGAGATAGATTGGAGTGTTGGACTTCTATAGAATTTAATAAAAAACGGTTTATTGCAAAATCAAAACGAAAAAAAGAAAAAAATTCAAAGAAAACAATAGAGTTGTTCTACCTTGCCAGGCGGGGGGGGGGGGGGGGGGGGGGGGTTCAGTTTTTTTTAATTTTTTTATTGCATGTGGGTCCGATGTGGGCCCACCCCAATATAAAAGCATGTACAAGGTCT